TGTAACACAGCCATGCAGCACAGAGTTAGGCTGTCCAAGCTGCCCTCCCTGGATAAAAATGTGTTTTTCTGTGCGTGCATCCCTGAATGGTCACTCAGCTCCTCCACCAAGGGCAGCCCTCCCCCTCCCATACCAGCCAAGCACTCTGTTAATATTTGGACAGGCCTGGCTTTTCTGAGCAGGATGTGTCAAGGAACAGGAGGCAAAGGACTGCAGGTGAGTGGCACAAAGGTGTCCTCTATTCTGAAGTCTTTTATGTTGCTGAGACTTTGGTTTATCTGAAAATGAGAGAGAAACAATAAAAGAAATAAAATGCAGTAAGACCAAAGCAGTGCAAAATATCACCTCATGCTGCCTGCCACCAGAAATGAGTCTCCAGCTCATCCACTCCCTGCAGGATCCTGGGATATCCTGCCCTCCATCTCTCCTAAGCAGCAGGGCAGGGGACAGGCAGATGCTCTTCTCTGCATCTCGACCACGAGGGAAGAAGCTCAGCATTTTAAACTCCCACCTGTTCTTCTCCTGAGCACAATGAAGAGGTCAGTGATGATGACAGCAGCAATAACTTCCCTCACTTGTCCTTGGGATGTCCCTTGCTCTGCAGAGGAAGAGAAGGGTCAGTGATGTGTTGCCTGGAGCAGTGGAGGAGCCAGCGAGTTGTCACAGCTGAACAACGCAGGAGCTGGCCGTGTGCGTGCTCTTGTCACACGTGTGACAGGAACCAAGTGAGCCAAAGCCACACAGAGCCAGGGCCAGGTGTGCTGGCTGCACCGATGTGTCAACTCAATGAACTGCAGGCTTGCTGTTCCCTGCTGGGTCAGAAGGAGACGCAGGAGCAATGTGGCATCAGCAAGGAGAGTGCCAACCCCAGCAGCTCCAACAGGGGGAAGCGTTTTTAGCTCTCTAGTAGCTCTCTAGTAGCATCAGCCTCCAGCTGACCACTGGGTGCAGCTCTGTGCCTAACTCCTTGGGGCTTGGCTGCTTTCTTGTGCCTGTCCACTGGGGTCCAGCCCACTTGCTACAGACTTCTGTTCTGTTGCTTCACCTTCAGTCATAAAATCTCTTTTCCCCTGAAGGAAATGAGATGTTTGCTCCCTCAGAACCTCAGGGAGTTAAATAAAAGCTGAAGAAGTGAAAGGGTAGAGGAGGACAGAGAGAATGGGTATGAGAGGACACCAGAAAGAAAGCACAGGGAACCAGGAAGATGTGGAGTGACTCAGAGGTTTTGATCCCCGTGGTGGGTAGATGAGGTGTGAGGAGGTCTCGGCAGGATGAAGCACTTGTCCCTCTGCCCCTGACACCCACCTGGTGCCTGGGTGAGATGGGCACTCACAAAGATGGGCTGTGCCAGGGCAGCTCTAGGTGGCTGGTGCCTGTGCTGGGACTGAGCTGATGCTGAGGCAGGAGGTGGTGCTGGAGGGGCCATCTCAGCTTTGCCAGTGCCTGGAGAAATGTGTGTTTGGGAGAGGAATTTCTGTGTTGGGGCAGGTCAGGTTAGGCTTCACATCTCTCTCAAATGATGCCACTGCTGGAATGATGTGAGCTCTTGGAAGTTCTGGAGGAGGTAAACAGGGCATTGATTTATTGATAGCACAGTACAAAAGTCTGTGACAAGGGAAAGAAGTTGAGCAGCCTGTGACAATGGGTGTTGGGAGCAGTGGTAGGAGGGTGCAGGGCAGTTTCAGTGCCTGGGGACAGGGGAGTCTTGTTGCCTCCAGGCACTTCCCTTCCTCACTGGCCAAACACAGCTGGGTGATTGCTGGGCTTGGTGCTGTGGGGTGCACACACAAACAAATGCTACATCTCTTGTCTCCCAGGCTCAGTCCTTGCAGCCAAGGGATGGGTCCCCATTTCTTAGCAGCTTTGATACAGCCTCATTGACTTTTGACCACCTGGTCACCTGTAGCCAGCTGTGTTCCCTCCTTGGCTGCTGCAGTGGGTCTTTCTGAGCAGCAGGGCAGTGCTGACCCTGCTGGAGAGCCACAGAGTGACCATGAGCCAGGACACAGGGCAGGGTCCTCACCAGCCTGCTGAAAGGTGTGTGTGGGGATCTCAGGGTCCACCTCCTCCCATCCTAGACCATACACAGCAGGGATTCTGCCTGGGGGATGGATACTGTCAGTGGACCCCTCTCACCTGTACCATTTTCCTCTCTGGAAGAGCATTCACCTTTGGGAGGACCCTCTTTTCACTGGGTGACCTTCACTACAGGGGTGGGGGTGCAGGAGAAGTCCCACACTTGCCACCAGAGCTGCTTCACTTTCACTCTGACAAAGCTGCAGGGAAAAAAACCCCTACATTTAAACCCACTAACTCTTCCTACACCAAGCTTGGGAGCCTGGAGGCAGCAGGGAAATGAGGCACAACCATTGGGGTCGAGGAGCCCTTCCCAACCTGCAGTGTTTGAAAGCAGTCACCTCTCTGCATATTTGCTTTTTAGACTACTTTATCTTTGTGAAAGACTTGGAGGCTGAAGCGGATTTATTTTTCTTCTTTCTCTTTTTCTCTTTTTCTTTTTCTTTTTCTTTTTCTTTTTCTTTTTCTTTTTCTTTTTCTTTTTCTTTTTCTTTTTCTTTTTCTTTTTCTTTTTCTTTTTCTTTTTTTTTCTATTTTTTTTTCTTTTTCTTCCCTGCAAAACCTTCTTCAGCTGGAAAGAAGATGGTTGCTCTGCAGTGGCATGAGCCAGCTCCAGCTCCCCTTTAGCCCAGTGGGCGTGCAGTGCCACCAGCAGCTGCCAATTCAGCCCTGGCTTTGCAGGAAGAAACGTCAGTGGGGATAAAACAAGCTGCAAGAAAGGAAATGGATGAGCTCCGAGGGTGTTTAACTGCATCTTCTCTGTCTTTCAAACACATGGGGAGAAGTTGGCTGCTTCTCTGCTGATCTGTTTCCTCTCCTCACAGTAACAGAACTCACCCTCACTGTGGCCAGTTAAAATCATGGATACACATCTGCAGGAAACCATGATAACCACCAGACACAGCTCAGAGGTCTGGATACAGACTTACCCTTTGCATCCCAGTCCCTTCCTCACCCACCAGTTCAGTCCTGCTTGGAAAAGCCTCACAAGGAATATCAACTCTTCCTGCAGAAGCTGTGCTTAGGAGCCTTGAGCTGTCAGATGTGGCTTTGCCTGGTGCTCCCACTGCCCCTCCAGGGTAAGATCACACACACCTACCAGCACACCCTGTGAGTCCCTGCCAGTCTGAGATGCACTCACCTGTGCTCCCTGGCCCTACAGGCCATTGTCCAGCATTATCCATGCTCTCAGAGGGGCACCCACACATTCCAGCAAAGCACAGCTTTACCATGAAGGCATCGAGTTCAAGGGAGCCATTCAGTGGTGCTACAGCTGCTGGGAGAGCCTGTGGATCTGTTTTCCTACTCAGGGAGATCAAAACCTGCTAAATCACTATGTGATGACAGATAAGGAGGTATCAGTGAGCAGAGGCCTAGACATCAAGGGGAAAGAATGCACTCATTGTGATGAGAGAAGCAGCAGCAGCCAAAAGCAGCAGCCAAAGGACCATCTGGTTCAGCTAGGGGAAGCAGGTGAGGCCAGGGGACAGGTGCTGGTGCACTGAGGGAATCTTAAGTGATGCTGTGGAATCAGAGGAGTGATGCTGGGAGGAGACTCCAGAGGTCTCCAGTCCAACCTCTGACTCACTCTCAGGTCACCATAATTTTGTCCAACCAAATATGGAAACCTTCCAAGAGTGGAGATACTGCCACCTTTCTGGGGACCTGTTCCAGTGCTGCTTTTTTACCCTTCTAGTAAAAAACTCATTCCTGAGGTTCAGCCTGAACACATCAAGTTTCAGCTTGCTGCCACTGTCCCTTGATCACATCAGCTGTTAATATTGAGAAGACCTTGGCTCCGTTATCTTTGTAACCACCTTGTAGATATTGGTAGGAAACAACACCGGGTGTAAACTGGACACCAGGCAAGTACCAGGAACACGGTAGTTTAACAGACATCTCCAGTGTAAAAAATTCTGCTGTTCAGGGCTGGTAGAAAGGAAAATAAAACCAGTTCATTAATATCACATGTATGATGTCACAGGTTGATTAGATGGAACTCGAAAGCTAAAAGAGGCTTTTCTCTGGTGCAGCTTAGTGCCAGCCGTGAACTGCTTGAGTTCATACCTGGATATCTAGGGAGAGAGCAAATATCAAGAGATAAACCCCAGTAAGGACTCTGCCGACATGGGGAAAATAGCTTCAGAGTTATGGACCAGTGAATCATCTCTCATCATCATAATGGCCCTCAGGCCTATGATTCTCAGCATGACACGACAAATTCCTTCACCAAACCATCACTGAACTTACAAAAGATTTGTTAGCTGTAAATAGCAATTAAGTCATAGAGCAGGTGGCCATCAAAAATAAATTTGGAGCGTGTGATCATAATTTCCTTACATATAAATTCTGTGGGAAGATAAATAAGAATAAGCCTGCACTGCACATGCATGTTTTGTTTCAAAAGAAATTAAACCCCCAAGGAATTTGAGACTCTTTAGTGTGGAATGCAGTGGTAAGGAAACTGCATGTGAAAGATGCTCAGAACTTCTGACAGAGATCTGGAACATGCAAAGCAAAGAAGCAAAAGCCCCTCTGTAGCTACCTGGATGAACAGCCATAAAGTGAAGGGTAAGGAGAAAATGTTCCTTCATATGTTTGTAGATATAATGTAGCATTAATCTGGAAAATGGATTTTTTAAAGAAGAGATAGCTTTTCATTTAAGTAAATACCTCAACCAGGAAGGAGAAAGTGGCTTGCAAAGAGGATGAGGTCAAACCTAAAAATATTTGTTAAAATTAAATATATATAAAACGTACATAAATGAAAGTCTTCAACCAGGAAAATGATAATGAAAAGCAGAGCAGAGGACAGGAGCATAATGAATATGAGAGTACAGGAACTGCCACACCTGATTTGAAGGCAAAACATACATTTATGTGATGAAGTCAAGAAAAAAAGGTAAGACCTGAATTTGAATGGATTTTTTTTATACCATAATAATTTTTATTCCTAAGAATGCAACAAGGAGTTACAGAGTTTCACAAAACAACAGGCACTGTTCAGATAAACGTCACCTTATCTGTGCTCTCTCAGTTTTGGGAGTTGGAGGTCCATCAAAAAGATCCATCCTTCAACCCAGACTTAGGATACATGTCAGTAGGTCACTTGCCCTTTCACCCCCTAAAAATTATCATCTGCCCCATGTTACTGTATAGCACCAGTTGGGAATTTCCAGAGTCTTTGTCAAGGAAATGCTTTTATCCAGAAAACCTCTGGTTTTGGCAGCACATCCCAACTCCTTTCATTCCTGTGCCCTTTCACCCATCTCCTCTTGCCTCTCCTGACACCACCTACAACGAGGCAGGTCTCTCTATCCAAATCCATTACCTTTTCTGTTTCCTGTCTTCTCTTGTCATGAGTTTTTTTGCCCTGCTCTGACCTTTCTGATTTCCACGATTCCTTCATTTCACTTCCACTCTTCCAGTGAGAGGAAACACTGCAAGACACGCCAGCCTGGAGTGTGTGGAGTATTGCTCTTGCACTTCACAGGACTTGTGGACAGCACAAACAAGATCAAAGTCATGAAGATCCAGAGTGTGGGGCTGGACTGAGAGCAACCTCAATGCTCTGCTGGAATTGGATCCCCTTTTCCAGTTCAGACCCTGCCAAAACAATAGACTATTTTGAAAAACACCACATGCTCAGTTTTTTCTAATCAAATTACTCAAGCTGAGATTTAACCAGTTTTCTTTTCCAAATTACAAACTCAGACCAGGAGCTAAGGACTTGCTGAACCCAAACCAGAGCCTCTCACCTTTTAAATAAGCCAGCATTGTGCTCACCAAGACACACAGTGCAGGAAAATTCAGTTCCTTCCAGCTCCTAAATCTTCTGATCCTGCTAATGGCAGGACCATCAACACTGAGCTAGCTTGGCATGTGCCTTAGATTAATAAAACTGCATCTGACACCATCCCACAGCTCTCCACTCCTGGTAAAGCTGGGATGAAGTGAGAAGCAGCTCCCTGCTGACATTGGCCAGGTGGGTATGCAGAAATGCAAGGGTAATCTCCCCTTCCCTATACAGCTTTGCCTCTCCCAGATCAGGTTGACCAGACTAACCTGAAGATTTTGGCTGTGGATTTTCAGCTTTGACTGGATATGCTGAAAGTTACTTAATCAAATTTACAGTTTACAGAAATACACCTATGTATTCACAGGAGCAAATATCTCTCTCTATGAATGAACACTCTGTGTCTCTCTATGGCCTGTAGGAATACCAGAAGGGAAATTATCCTGGATGTTCCATGCACACCCTGGCTGATCCCACGAGGTAGAGGTTGTGATATTCCTAACTCTGACCTGCACCATCAACCATTGTATTTCCAAAGGTTGCATCCCCCTGAAGTCTGACTCAGGCACCTCCTGTAGAGGGAAGAAGGAGGATCCATTTTTATAAGGTTGTAACTGAAGTCATGGCATCTCCAGGAGCAGGGAGTGGCAAGAACAAAATCCTCTGGAACTGACAGAAGGCAGCCAGAAGCAGAAAGAGACAGTGGTGCTGGAGACACTGGCACTAAAGGTAAAATGAGCAAAATTCACACCTAACATAGGCCAAAAGTTCAGGGCAGCCACAGCACTTCAGAGCACCTAAAGTGGCTGATCATGTGAGATCTTGTTCACAGGCTGAAATTTTTCATGGTCTCCTGCCAGCCTTGAACACTGACTTACTCTGAGACCTTATTATTTAAGTAACCCTTTTTCCATCCTCCCCAAATTATCCATAAAAGTAAGTGGCTCCATTTTCAAGAACCCAGCGTAGATTCTGGCACCCAGTTTTTGGACATGCATTTGCAGATACTGTGGTCTGCAGCTACAGCTGGGTGCTCGGCATATTTCAAAATCAGATGATTTTGAAACATGATAAGTGAAGAATGAGGCCCTGATGTAGAGACTTAGGAATTCTAAGTCTCTTAGGAATTCCTAGAGACCTAGGAAGTCTAGGAATTCTGGCTGTATGTTTTCACATCTGTCAACTTTGTCAGCTGGGTAAAACAAGGAGATAATATTGGGCAGCTCATGTTATATGGAATGTTTTGAGGACAGGGGAGGTTTTGTAAGCAACTTTAAAGGATGGACAGTTTGTTTTTGCGCAGTGGCTTAAACATCAGGATGAAGGATCAGAGTGGTTTTAACTGCTCCTGGCCCAGCTTAGATTCCATGTGTTCATTTCCTTCCCTTTTCTCTTCATAAACCTGGGATGCTGCTTGAGTTTTCTACAGGATACCTGTGCAGAGAAGTTTATTTCATATCTAAAGCATTATGAGACTTCCCAGAAAGGATCTCTAGGGGCAGAAAATAGAGTAGCATAAAGAAAAAGAAGAGAAAGGAGAGAAAGAAGAAGAGAAAGAAGAGAGACAGAAAAAGAAAAAAAGAAAAAGAAAAAGACTAAAAGAAAAAGAAAAAGAAAAAGAAAAAGAAAAAGAAAAAGAAAAAGAAAAAGAAAAAGAAAAAGAAAAAGAAAAAGAAAAAGAAAAAGAAAAAGAAAAAGAAAAAGAAAAAGAAAAAGAAAAAGAAGTGCTACTTTTCTTGTTCCTGGGACCATTCCATTGTCCTCACAGCTCAGACTGTAAGTTCTTGAAGGTGTGTGTCTGGAAACGAAAAATATCCTCATCTGGTTAAAAATCTCACAGGGATCACTTAAGCTGCAAGGTGCAGGCAAGGCTGAGCTGCACTCAGGGTGGTTTGGGTCACCACGCAATTCATGCCTTTGGTTACCAAGCACTCAGGTGCATCTCTGGGTAAGAGAGGGCTCCTTCTTGCATGGCCACCTCATCCCAGATCTGCACCAGGGTCAAGGATGGCAAGTGCAGCACATATCCATCTGCCTGAGCCAGTTTGCACCTGACCAGACCAGGTGAGAAGAGTAGTGGTCCATGCCAGCAAATATCCCAGCTCCCAGCTAGGTTCTCCTGCCCAAGACAGAGAGATGAAAGCTAGACCTGTCCTGAGCTCCCACTTCTGGCTATGAACTTAAAAAAGAAAGGATGTGAGTCAGCACCCTGTGGCTGTGCAGTGGCTGGAAATTGTCCTAAGCTGACAAATAAATTTATGGCTGTTTCAGAGGAATCTCACCCACCACCACATCCATGGCATTTCTGACTAGCACCACTGGAATGGTTTCAAGTAGTGTAATGAGACAGACACTGCTGGTAACATGCCTGTTCCCTCTCATCTGTTGCCTCAGCAAGCCCATTCTGGTTTCAGTTAGTGTATTTATTAAAAGATAAACCAAATCCTAATCACTCTTCTGCTCTGCAAAAATGCTATGCTCCAGACCATTCAGCTGAAGCAAACATTATCCATACTATTACTGAATGGGTTACTGAATTACTTTCCTTTTATGGAAAAGAATATTATTTCTTTGACATCCTGTTTTCAGTTGCTTGCAATTAGAATTTGCAATTTACAACTGCAAAAGTGAGTTGGTAAGGCAGTCTTAAAAAAGACTTCAAATATTCTTTAATGGCTTTAATGAATTTTCAGATAAAACACAGAAAGTTGTTACCTTAAAATATAAAAAGTCAGTTGAGCCTCTGAAATTGTTTGCACTTGGTTACTCCTAACAAAGGACAAGTTTGCTTGCTTTGGTTTGGTTTGAATGCTCCCATGAGCTCAGCTTTAGGCTTGCACTCAGCTGGGTGTGCTTGCCTTAGTCAGGGTCCTAAATGATGGTCTGTGGCTGCAGAGTGAATTCCCAAGTTCTCGCTGGAGTTCTAATTAATTCACCTAATTTTGGGGTGTCCTTTCCTTCTGCCCACGTCTCAGAGCAGGTTAGCAGTCCCTGGGTCTGCCAGGCAGGAGGGCACCTACTTGTGCTCCAAGAATTTGGCTTTCCAGACAAAACTAAGGTGTTTCAGATCTATTTGAGCTAAGTAAATTAACCGCTCTTGCTTCTCTCAGGTACATGGTAAAGGAGCAGCAGCCTACCTTCAAGGATGTAAAAATGCTGTTTTCAAATAAGATCCTCATTGCTTTCTTCAGGATGCTGTATTAAACCAGGAACAGAAAACAGAAAGCATGTGATGTTAGTAAGCAGTGGTTGAAGCTTTAACAATTTAATGCAGGGGAAAAAAATGCAGAGGTTTCAAACGCAGTTGGGAAGAAGCCAATTTTGTATGTCCAAAGGAGAGTTGGAAGCAACAATCTTTACACCTGAATCCCCAAATCTTCATCTCAGAGCCCTGAAGGGAGCATGTCAGAGGGGAAGAAAGTTGTTCAGACTCTGTGCTTGAAAGTAGAGACCAAAGTCTTTCGAGTCTGCTCCCGGGATTCGCTCATGCCCGTCAGCAGCACGGGGTCTGTCCTGGGCTCTGCCTGGTAGAAGGGACAATTCCTCAGGTGCTCCGACATGCTCGGGACATCGCTGCGCTGCCAGTTGTGAACTCTGGAGAACAGGCTGCTGAACTGCCAGATCTAATGCAAGAGAGGAGACAGGAGTTGGGGAGAGGAAATGAGGATTTTAAATATCTGTCTGTGCTTACAATGGGTGGGCATTACTCACTCTGGACACTGCAATGAATGATGGTGCAGGGCTGGCATAGCAAGTGAAAGGGGGGTCTGGATTGTTATGTACCTCATACTTGCTGGTTTTGCTGCTTTAGTTATCACCTGCCATTTTTAACGGGGATGGTAATACTTAAATATCAGGAATTCTTAGTTCTCAGTGCCTAGAAATGGTGCACATGGAAACGGGTAACCCAAGATGAGCTTGGGTGGGGACTTTCAGCTAGTCAGAGAATGTCTAGTTACACCTTCATCCTTTTGCTAGATGTCCTGCACTCTGCAGCCCTGGGCCCTGAAAACAAACCCCCATACAAATTCACAACCTCATGAACCTTCCCCACATCTGCATGTTTATATGCAGCTTTTCTTGTCATTCCCATGTTTTATCTGAAGAGAACTCATGACTCTTTCTCCCAGTGTCACAGTCACTTGCCTTTTTCCGAGCTCTCCAAGAAGTACCACCATGGGAATATCTTTTTTTCTCCCAGACCAGCAGGACCATTCCCCTCTCTTGAAGAAGAGTGGCACAGATGTCCCTCATGAGCACTGACACTTGTGATAGCTGAGATAAACTGAAGCTGTCCAGGAATCCTGCAATGTACTTGAGCACTTCCACTGGGAGGCTGCTCAGCAAGTCCTTGTTTCTCCCTCGACAATCCACTATGGAATTGCCTGGTTCAGCAAGAAGGGTGTCCACTTCTGGCTTAATAGCAAACGTCTTGAGAGGCTTGCTGTAAATAACCTTGGCCTTTAGTCCCTCGGGGCGGAAGTGATTTTGGACAAAAGGACACCCCAAGTAGGCCAGTGGGCAGCGATGCTGGAACCATCCATCCAGGCATGACTGGATATCAGCGTGCACATTCTTGAAGTGGAATGGGAACTCATCCCTCCTAAAGAAATGACTGCAAGTGAATGTGAAAGCTGAACTGCTTTTGTTGTGTCTTCTGGTTACACATTCAGTGTAGAGCTCCATGTGCAGTTCTGGTGGGCTGTTTTCATCCAGAATATCTGCTAGAACTGCACTGGAGGAGAAGGGCTCCAAAGGAAAGCTGTATGTCTGTGTTGCAAAATCCACAAAGAGTCCATCGATACCTCTTGCTTCAGAGATCTCATGGCCTTTCAGCTCTTTCTCCAGAGCACACAGCAGTGTGGCTTCAACTATATTTGTCTTAGGTAGTTCTTCTATGTTTATTCCCAGTTCTGAGGTATCCACTGACTTGTCTGAAGTTGGCATCTTGTGGCCCAGTGCATCTCCTAGTCGTGCTCTTTTGCCACAGTAACTAACTGGCACTTTGAAGGTGTATACAGTCTTCACCTCCTGGGCTTCCAAGTTGCCATAGACAAAGTCTTTTTCTCTGGGAGTGCAAGCAGCCATCTGGCCAAAGCGGATGAGCATTCCCCCGTGATGTACCAGATACATGTTGTAATCTGCCACACCGACTTCCTTCTTCAGCCTCTCCAGCACCCCTTCCTGCCAGGGAGCCAGTCCATTCAGTTCTCTGCTCGGTGTTACTTGTTCAGACTTTTGGCTCTTTCCCTCTTCTGCACCATCAGGTCCTTCCTTTGCCTTCTCTGTGGAGCTGGCAGCACGAGAGGCTGCTGCTGTTTTCTTGGAAGCCTCCTCTGTCTTTTGCCCTGAGCTGGTTGCTGAGCCTGTTACCTGGCAAGCCAGAAGCTCTTTGCTGAAAATGTTCTCCCATGTTTTGTAACTCCCCAGATCCATTCCCTCTTTGTCTTTTGCCAGATCTTCCCGCTCACGTTGGCTGAGCTCAGACTGGTCATTGCCCTCTTGGGAACCACAGGCAGCTCCTCCCACAGCACCTGCTTCCCCACCCATGGCTTGATCCATTAGTTCTTTCAGTTCGTCCTCTTTCCTCCACTCTGGAAATAATTCAGCTACTTTCAAAGCCCTGAAAAGTATCTTCTGGTCTCTGAGTGCCAAAGCTGTGTCCAGACATTCTTCATTCAAGGCCTCTTTCATAATATTCTTGTGCAGCGTTGTGTCTGAATCCACGTTTGGCCAGCGGTTCCACTCCATCGAGCAGCACACAACACTGGCTGGACAGACCTGGAGGTGCTTCCCCAGCTTAAAGCGGGCCATGGAGAAAGGGCAGCCATAGGCTGAGTTGAGGCAGGACACCTGCTCCAAGGGGCAGAGCAGTTTGTGCTCCTCCTCCTTGCACATGTGGAAGGTGGCCCCGCAGTGGAGGCGGCAGCTGATCACCATGCAGGACACGGAGACCTCAATGGGCGCGCGGCAGTGCCGGCTGAAGCATCGCTCGCAGTGCCTGTGTTGCCCAGGGGGAGCTTTCTGGGCCCGGTGCTGTGTGTGGCAAAGGCAAGAAGACAAGAGTTATTGCCTGAAGGAAGGAGGATGGCCACAGGCCCTCCATGCCCACAGCTGGTTTCCACACAGGAGGTGCTCACGTGCCCTTGTGGTGGGAATGAGGCTGTGAGAAAGTGGCTGCCAGCCCCCACAGTACAGCCTGGCCTGGAAGCAGCACACATACGGACAAGGTCTTTACTCCTTAGCTCAGGCTGCTGGGTATGAGCTGTTTTCTGTCCCAATATTTCACCAGGCTGCTGAAATCAAGACTGCTAGGAACACAGTAAAGGAGCATCCCACTACCTCAACACTGAATAGGAAAAATGACATTCTTTTTTCCTCTCTAGATTTGGCCTAGGCCTCTTCTCTTCTCCCCACAAAGACACGAATGTTGAACAATGAACCTTCCTTTGCTCTACACCACCAAGGTCAAGAGTGAGAATTGTCTTCAGGATGCCAGCTCCCACTGTGGAAAACAGCCTGAGTAAGAGTTGGTTTCCTTGGCCCTCTTTACTCTGCTTTCCTGATTTACCCTTACACTACAGTTGTTGGCTTACAGAACTAGAGGCTGCTCAGTCCCTACTTCCCTGGATACCTTCAACTGGTATCAGTAACTTGGCCCATAGAAGACCTGCTGCAAGAAGAAACCTCCCAACTTTTCACTTCCTGCTCCTTACTACAAGAGTTGCATTCCAGCCTGATTCTGGAATCACTGTGAATCTTTGTGGAAAGATAAAAGCTAATGATAAGGAGGAACTCAAGTTCTGTTTTCAAACAGGACCCAGGATGCTTTTCTTTTTTATGTGAAAATAGTAAAAAAATGTTGACAAATCTTCACACACCCCTCCCCCCTGCTCCATTTCATGCAGTAAGAACTACCATAGGTCCAACAGACTCTCACTTGGCTCTGAGAAAAGACAGGTATTGGTAATAAAATAATTTGTTTTATTTTTCCTAGGTTAAAGAAAACAAGTTAAAGAAAAGTAGTGTTTACCTAGATGTGTTTTCTTTTGCAAACCTAGGGTTAAGTGACCTAGCCCTGGGAAGAGGTGTGCTGCAGAGGAAGTGGGCTCAGGCTCAGGGGAAGAGATTCTATGCAAAGAACTTCCTCTCTCTTTCTTGAAGGTGTTCTCTTAACTTCATATCTTTCACACCTTTACACCCTGGCAGTGGAAGCCATGAACACCACCAGAGAAGGAAAGATGTCTGGGAAAGGCAATGCTTGTGGGTCTCTGCACTAAATACCAACACTCACATTTGAAAATTTGATGTGCGTTAATTGCTCAACACAACTTTGTTCCGTCGTTTGCAATTTCCAGTGCTGATCAATACCTGCTTACACCTCCTAATGAATTAACCCCATTCCCTCTTGGCCCTGCAGAGTAAAGGAACACACAGCCTTGGGGAACCTTTACTCAGAGACAAACTTGCACTCTCAAGTGTAAGGTACCATCACCTTGGAGGGAAAGAGCTCAAGACAGCAATGCAGAAAATAAAACTTTGTGACTTCCCATTATAACATCCTTGCCTTAGGAAACACCTGCTTCTGCACAGAGGTGACACCAGGGTGCTGGCCAGAGTGGCCTCAGCCACACCAAGTCCTTAAATACATGTGGTTTGGGGTGGCACCTGTCCTCCTCTAGGCTGTTCAGTTACATCTACTTTTATGCAGCTCAGAGAAGCAGAGATACAGATGGATTTATTTCACACTGGCGGCATCCTTGCCGCTCTCATTCTTGTAGCATTTTGCTGCAAATATAATCTCTAAAAATAGTCCCAGCCATGACTTGCATAAGGTCAGAGGAAGGCTGGGTACATTACACTGCAATAAAAACATGACTGTGTGAACAATACTTTCCACTGCAAAAGTAACTCTTGGGGAGAAATAGTTGATAAAAAAAACCCCCTACATTAGAGGCATAGGCCTTATTGTTCTTCAAAACACAGAAAAGGCTGATGACAAAGTTTCTGGAGGGAAGCCTGCTTTCACATTGTTGCATGCTGAAATAAACCCCATCCAAATCATGTGTAGAGAAAGAAAATACATGCTTTGTTTATGAAGAGTGACCATATCGCATCATTCAGATGCAGAATCAGTCTTCCTCGTTATTCAGGCATTTTTTAGTTTAGTTTACCTCATCTCTAACTTGTATATGCTGTTCTTTTCAGACAAAAGATATCTATTCCTCTCTTCTCATTGTCAAATCTGTGAACATAGAGGACAGGAAGAAGGGACAGAGAGTTTCTTTCTGGCATTTATCAGGGTTTGAATGCTTCTTATATTCTGACATGCCAGTAGTCAGGAGCTCTGTATTTTAATTGATAATTTACTTGGCTGTGGTTTCATTGATGGTATTTACAGAAACTAAAAACTCAAAACACTTAGCAGAAAGTTTACAAATTTTGTCTCAGTAGGTTTGATACATAAGATCCAGAGGCAGGTGACACACAGATAAGTCAGGTAACAAAATATTTCTCTAAACTTGTACACTTCTTGATCCCCTGCAACTTGCAAAGTTTCTCAAGGTCTGGGTTAGGAAACAAAAAAACCAAACAAACCAGAAATGATTACTTCAATCATGTTCAAGCTACTGTGTAAGGAAAGAATGCACATTACAGTCCATAGTCTGTCCACTTTGGTAAATATTTTTAGACTATCATGACAGCAAATCAAGTAAGGTTTAAAAATATACAGCTGCTATTTTAACTGCAGCTACGTCTGTGTCTGGAGTGGGCCTGTTCAGTGATAATAACTTACAGTTTATAAACCAATTAAAATTTATTTTCAGGAGACATATATTTAATTAATTTGCAGTCAATGAGCCAAAATAATACAAGTATTTTCTCATTTGGCATGTGACTGACCATTTGACATACTAAGGCCATACATTGTACCTGAGCTCTTTGCACAGAATCAAGGGGTACCTCCCAGTTTGAAGAAACATCAAAAGGGGCCTCCAGAAACCCAGATAATGACCTTAAAGAGTGCCTCTGAGATGAGATTGCAAATGAACATAAAACAAACTTTCTAAATTTTACAACATGATAACAAGCTCCTAAAAAAAATCTCATGAAAGTTCACATCCAAATGCTGGAGCCAAGAATGCTGAAGTTATATATAATGTTACAACAGAAGAATGTGAATACTTTTGGTGAACTGGCAGATAGGCAGTGTTCTCTGTTTCTTTTAACCCTTGTTACCTAGTATATAGTGTTTATCTCATCTTTATCATACTGAAATCTTGAGGGGAATAGTCATTAATTTTCTTACAATATAAGAATTTTCATGTCAGTATATTTACTATCTTAGATCTGATTGTGTTCACAATAATGAATTTATCTTTGCAATTCTAGAGGAGCACTTGAAGTTGAAAAATACTAAAATACTTTCTATTTGGCAGATATAGAATGAAAGTTTAGAAAGATGAAAATATATAGAATTAAATATGGTATTTTATACAAATATGTAAATGCCAGGCAAAAATGCCAAGCATGGAGATGCTCAGGTTCTTATGTTTCACTTGCAGTTGCATGCCTTCTGCACAAAAACTTTGGCAGAGCCAGCTGTAGAACCACATTTTCTAGGACACCAAGTAAGTCTTCTTTAATTAGTGATTTTCTTTTCCTTTCCTGCACTGCTCTTCCTCAATCACTACTTGTTTAACAACCTTGTCAAGAAATCAGGCTTGAGTCTCCTTTTGCTAAATAGATATTTTTATTTCTTAGTGGTGAGGACAAAATCACTGTGCCATTGGAAACCATAGTGTATTGCATTTGTACATGAATCCCAGGAGCCCAAGTTTCCTTAAGTCCCCTCCTTAGACACAAAATAAAAAGCAAATCCAAGAATGCCACCACCTGGAATCGTGGAGACCTCTAAATAAGTGGAACTCCACACCTCAACACCCACAGCAGGGTCAGCTGCAGCTTGGGTGACCCCCTTGGCACTCAGCACAGTGGGTCACTGTCCTTCATGGCATTCCTGCTCTGCAGTTGCCATTCAGACTGACCTTGTACATACAAGCTGCCAGCCAAGCTTTAAATGAGGCAGGCAGTGAGTATGGTACAGCTCAGGGCAGGTGGAAAGGGAGAATTAAAGGTGTAGATGAAATCTTCATCAATAACACTAATAGTGAGCATAAACAAGACCTACTTTTGAGGTGACCTCGAACAAGTTCACATGGATTTTACAGGGGCACTTTGATTCCAGGGCAATCCTGGTGAACTTCAAATCCTTAGCATAAGACATGAGGAGGAGTAAGATTTTCTGTGAAACAACTGACTTGTTGGATAAGCCCAACAATGGAAGGATGAAGCAGTGAGAATTTCCTGTATTTCCTACCTGGGGATCATCTGGATGAGGCTGTGGTGTTTCATGGCAATAACCACTATTTCAGAGTTACTGAACAAGTTGGAATTGCTTTATACTGAAAAAAATAAATCCACAGTATAGTGCATTGGTTGGGCAAGGACTTTAGTCCATGCTCCTTGCCTTTCTTCCGGAGCATGCCTGTTGCTCAGGTCCTCAGAACAGCACAGCAGGTTCTCCTCAGCTCCCCACACCTGACATGCAGGACCATGGAGATCCCCCTTGCCTGGAAAATCTGTGCTGCACACGGGCAGTAAAGTGGCACCAAAATTTGCTTGTGCAATTTCTGTCTGGTGAAATGCACTAAAGCTGTTAACAGGAGGAGCAGGGAGACTTCAGAGCAGTGAGGCACAGGTAACACAAGGCACTGCTGGTGGGAACCCTGCACTGCACTCCCCACTAGAACACCTGGATCAGCAATCCAGGTTTCTTGCTCCTCCCTACCTGGTGCAATGTAGCCATAGGTCATCTGAGAGAAACACACCCAAAAATTCCAGGTTCTGAAATGGTCCCCTGGGCTGGTGGCATAGTGCAGGATAGCTCAGCATCAGTATCATGTGCTGGGATTGCTGGGGAGTCCTGTGGGAGACAGGCAGATCAGCAGGCTGTGACATGGAGCTGCTCTGCTGCTCCTTGGACATGTCAGGGGTCCCTGTGCTGTCCTTGGTAGACACAGTCAAGCAAACTTCCACTTTGCACTGGTAACTAGGAAATGGGTTTGGTCTTGGTTTGAGTTCAACAAGTGCTTTAAAAGAATAGGTCCAGTTTGGTTGCAGTTTAAGGAAAAAAAAAAAAAAAGGAGGGTAATGGTTCAAACCATGTTTTTTTTCTCTTTGGGCTCAGGATCTATTTTATACTCTGGTAAAAATCTAGTTAACATACTTTACTGAAAGGTGCCCAGTGTAAACAATCTCAGAGTTATTGGTTAAGATTTAAGTAATAAAATAAAAATAAAAATAAAACCAAAAATGATTAATGAATAAAAATTGCTAAGCAGTCACAAGACTAAATGGTACAGTAATACCTTTAACTCTTGCAGTTCTTACTTCATCATTCATTCAGTCTAGATTGCCAACATAAAGTTTGCAGTCTTAATCTACAAAACTCACTTAATTTTAAGTATAAGCATTTTTGCCATGAGATTGCTCTTGCCTTTCCTCTGACCCTTACTGTATCTTCTTGTCTTCTCTGAATTTCCTGAAAATAACAGAAATTGAGTTTTTGATTTATCATCTGATTTGCTGCTGAAGCTCCCATCTTACAATCAGCATCTTAGGGTTTTTTTAAAATCCTGCATACAGTGCTGCAAACTACAGCTAATTCACTGAATATATTATGGAAGGGTTTTTTTTAGAGCAGTATGTCACAGAAGTGCTCACAGTTACCAGCTGCCTCTGTTTTAGAGTGTCATTTAAGACATCTCATGATTATTCTATTTCATCTTAATTACTAAGGCTGTTTTGAAGATGTCTTGATTTTCATAGCTTGCTACAGTAACCATTACAGTGCATCAAGGTTTGTCCAAAAAAACCCTCCAACTCTATTTACAAAGGCTTACCTTGATCATAGAGTCCCTGTGCACGTACCAAACACTTGTCTCCTGGTTGTGCTCAGCTGGGCTGAAGTGAGGTGGGTGAGGGAGAGCTGCACACAAAGAAAGAGAGGAGATCAGAAGGACACAGAGCAAGCCCAGGCAGAAACATCAAGTAGTTTTGGGATGTTAAAAATAAAACCTGTGCATGTGACCACGTAGCTCAGCTTACAGAGCTGTCTCTTCCACTGTATTTGTTAACTCTGTCACTCCTGGAGTGATGCTCTGCAGACAAGTGGAGAGGCAGAACCAATAGCACTCCTTGTCCCCTGCATGAGAGGAAAAGATCAAACCCCTTCCCCAGCCCTGTATCAGCTCCCTGCTGCTCTCTGATGGAGGTTTGCCCTTTACAACTTAACTCCCCTTAGTGCCCACGCCAGTTTGTGGTTTCTGCAGTTGGAATTGTCACTGGACACAGCAGCTGGCACAGACAGCAAAGGTGGCTTTCTGATCTGTCCAGGCAGGGTGGACATAAGGAAAGTGGGAATGGCCCAGACTTGAGCAGCTGGGCAAAGGTGCCTGCCCTCCTCCTGGGGATTCCCAGAACACTCCCAAGCTTCAATCCCTCCCCTGCACAGTGAAAAGGTCCCACCAGCCACCCAGAGTAAGCCTGAGGGAACAGCTCCCTGCCCCACCCTTCCTCAGCCAAACCTGGGAAGGCAGAGGAGCAAAGGAGAGCAGTCATGTTGTAGTGCAGGCATGGACTCACTAAAGCATTTCATAGTGACCTCCATGGTGAGCACTTCATGCTGATGGTGAGCATGGACAGGTCATCCATGCCGGTGAGGTTCAGGGGTGCAGATGGGGGGTGCTGCTTCTCCCTGGGGCTGCTTACCCCATCTGGCTGCAGACATCCCTTGTAGCCCTGCTGCTGCTTGCTGCCACCTCTCACTGCCTCAGAAACACAGAACAACCCTTTTGGCTGTGGTGGCCTTGAGATCCTCAATCATTATGAACTTGATACTTTGCCTTATCTTTCTCTTTCCCATCTGTGAGTCCTCAGTGACTCTCATGGCTTGAAACATTGCAGGCAACTGTTTTCATTTTTAGGGCTGAACAAAATGTCAGTGGGTGACAACCAAGGCTTGCTGGTGCCAATTGCAACTTAGTAGAGCTAAATATGGTCAGCAGTCTGGCTCCGTGGCCTTTTTTAGAAAGGGCTGCATTATCGTGATACCATTTTCTGGCATCCCATTGCACTGGGCAAAACAAGAACCAGGGGTATTTTGCCTAAACTTGAATTTAACCCAATCACAGCGTGATGGCTGATCTCTTTACTCTGTCCACTTCCACTTTTCCTCCCCCAGCTCACGGTCATTTGTCAGCCTTCAATGCTGTTGTCATCTTTTCAGGCTGTGTTTAAAAACATGCTGAGTGTGTGCCTCATTTTTGCATGAAGAAAAATTCTGCTCAAAACTGTGTATTGGTTTAAGAGTAAATTTCCTCCAGGTGAATTAACTCAGATTACAAAAACTCTCAGGGCTTCGGAAGTTGTCGTCAGAAATGAAGCTACCTTCTGTATTAATTTTACCTGCACCTGATGTCAGCCTGGTCTCAGGTATCTCTATTTTCACACAGCTGGAACTCTGGTGGTGCTTTTTGCTGTTTCCATGCCTTGCTCTGTGACCACACAGACCCAGACAGCCTGGACCTGTGTCTCTCTGCTAGGCTGCCTCACAGCCTCACCCCACACAAGGCTCCACATAAGTTTTGCAAATCCTTGCCTGCAGGTGGTGACTGTGATCCAAAAAGGTGTCATCCGTGGTGGCTGTTAAGGGCAGGTTATCACAAGACATGCAGAATGAACATAGCTCACCATGCCTGAAAATATGGGCTTGGTGGGGAGCAGAGAGACAGGAAACAGGAATTCATCCTTGTACCTGCATTGCATTAGCTCTGTTGCATCTGAAACCAGACTTTCATCAAAACCAGGAGAACCTGAAGATCTCTGCTGCCACCCATAACTGTGCTAATTCGATTCAAGGTATATCAGGAATGCCAGCCAATACTGTAACCAGACCTCCTGCTGCATTACAGATGTGCTTAGGTACGGTGCAAGAAATGTGAAATCCCTGAAAGAAAAGCGGAACTGTTTTTTTTTGTGGCAAAATTGTCTGAGATCTGGTAGCCTGAGCTGCTGGGGCTGCTGCAGCCCCATGCCCATGTCCAAGCAATAGCCAGACAGAGTTTGTATTCCCAACATGCACAAATTCACATATGCACCAATTAAGCACACACACATGGACACAGATTACACATCCATCCACACAGAGCACTCCCACACAGCACTGGCAGCCTCACCCCACACTCTGCTCCAGCTGAGCAGGACGGAGGTGCACTAGTGAGTGTCTGTGTATATCTGTGTATTTACACAAGTATTTACACACGTGTACAGCGTGTCTCCTTCCAGCAGCTGCCCCTCAATCCCAGCCCCTCCAGCCCCCAGCAGGCAGCTCCCTGTGGTGCTCTGACCACGAGTTCCTCACGCAGGGCAAAGTGCAAAAGGAGTTTCATGGGAAGACCCGACAGGCTGCGCTGATCAGGTGCAGGATGTGGACAAATCATCACCAACCATTGACACATGACTGGCTCTTTTATTCCTGTATGCTTTATTTGTTTCTCTGTGTGACCTAGATCACCCCTGGCTCCTGCCCCAATCATTCCCTAATGAGTCCTGTGCAATCCCCAAATGCTCTTCCCCTGCATCTTGTCCAGTGTCCCACGCCCCTGAATACAGGTACATCTCTAATCCTAAAGGTGCTCTGGGGCTGAGGCTCCTGGGGTGGGGCTGGACAGGGGGTTCCTTTCCCCGAGTCCTTAATTTGGGTTCCCACCTGCCACAGTGCTCCCGTGCTCCTTGAAATGGGCCTTTATTGGGCTGATGGCTCCTGGGACAGGCCTGGAAGCGGGTGCTGCCTGGGCTCCCCCTCCTGCCACCGTCACCCCGTGCTCCTCTGTGGCTGTGCGGGCTCGCTTGTGCCACACGATCCGCTGTGAGTGTCCGTGCCTCGCACGCCGAGCCTCACCAGCCGCCTCTGGGGCCGCGGCACCGCCCGTGGCACACGAAATGGCTCCGCTGCCTGCCGCACCCGCAGCGCCGCGGTCTGCGGTGCCACCGAGGCCACCGCTAGGGGACCTGCATTAATTAAAGTGGAAACATCAGCCCGCTGCGCCGTTCCGGGCCGTAACAGCCCCGGGAACATCCCTGCCCCTTTCGGCACGGAGTTCCCTGGCGGCGGCGCTGGCGGGAGGCGCGTTGGGGCCTAAAACCGCCGTGACATTGGCGGCTGCTGCGCCATCGCCACCACCGCCTCCGTGTCCCGGAACGCGACCCCCCAGCCGGCGGCCAGCGCCCCTCAGGCGGGGAAGGGACGGGGCACCTCCTCCCTTCTCCCCAAACCCTCCCGGGCGCGGCGCCACCGCCCGTCGCACTACAACTCCCGGCGTGCCCCGTGGCGGGAGAGGCGCGCCCGCGCGGCGGCGCGCGCTGCCTGCCGGGAGCCGTAGTCTTTCCTTCGGGGCCGCGCCGTCCTGAGGAGGGCGCCGCCGCCGCCAGCCGCTCTCGCCGGAAGGGCTCTTCCTCCCAGAGGGCGCCGCGGCGCGCCGCGCGCGTGCGCAGTGCCGCTGCCAGCCAGCGCCGGGCAGGCAGGGAGGGAAGGAGGGAGGCAGGGAGGGAGCGGCGCTCGCGCGCCTCGGGCCCGAGAGGAGACAGCGCGGAGCCGCGCCGGGCCGGCAGCAGGTACGGGGGCGGGGGGGGAGCCCCGTTACCTCGGCTCCGGTGCAGCGGGCGTGCCGGCAGGCGGGCGGCGCGCGGGGCCGCGTTCCCGCGGGAGGAGGCACCGGGCGGGGATCGGCTGC